TTTGCACTTAAACCCCGTGGGAGCTGACTCGGACTTCTTATCGCGAGTTTGATATATTTGGATTTCCGGCTGGCCGTGAAGCAAATTGCAAATTGACTAAACTTGGAATCTACTTCTAGTTGTAGACAAGGGTGTACGTATGTAATTTTGATAAGAGTATTTGTAATTAAGTTACAGGTTTCAGGGGTAGTATTTTTATGGCAAAAATGCATTTTAGTCCTGTTGGTTTAATGCCATAACATTTTTAATTCCAAGATTCCAACTTTTCGCTTTTTTGGTCATGTGATTTATATTTTGAGAACTAAAATTGCAACAAAATTTTAAATTACAGGACTTAAGTTGGTTTAATGCCATAACATTTGTTGCAATTTCAGTCCTCAAATGATTAAAATTGCAGCAAAATATTAAATCACAGGACCAAAAGGCGAAATGTTGGAACTTTGGGATTAAAATTGCTATGGCGTTAAACTAGTTGGACTAAAAATGCATTTTTGCCAATTTTTATCAGTAATGTAGAGTAATTCATTTACCCTAATATATTTATGACTAACTTTGTAAAGTATTTCGTTTTCAGCTTCTGCGAAAAGTGAGGATTCTTTCGATATCGAGGAAAACAAAGAAGTCTCGAAAGTAGTTGAGCCTGCACCAGAGACTAATGGGGAGGATGAAGAGGCTAACCGGGATGAATATGCCTCTGAAGATACTCAGAGTACGTTTAGTTACGAGCAGTTGAAGTCCAAATCTGAAAATCCTGTTACGGGTATCGATTTTAAGCGCAGAGAGGTAATGTTTTTGTCCATTCGCCATACTCAACCTCATGGGTAATTTTTGCAATTGATCGCAAATATATCATTTGACATGTATTATTTTATTATTTTTATTTTTAAATCGTTTTGCAGGCGTACCTTTCGGACGAGGAGTTCAAGTCTGTGCTGGGAATGACTAAAGAAGCATTCTACAAGCTGCCAAAGTGGAAGCAAGACATGCTTAAAAGGAAAGTCGATCTCTTCTAGAAATGGAAATTTCTCAAAAACCGTAACCCAAAAAAGGAAAAAAAAAAAAAAAAAAGAACTATCGTGCAAATTTAAAAGTGCTTTTTCCCTCTCTACTAAACCTGCAAGTTTTAGTTTGTTCGGCTCGGTTTTTTTGGTGCCCGCCTTACCGTGCATCCACTTGTCGGTATTTGTTTGGCTTTGGCTATTCGGTGTTGGCCTTGAGGATTGGTTTGTCTTCTTTATTTTTATTTTTCCTTTTCTTTTCACTTCCTTCTTCTTCTTCTTCTTTTTTTTCTTTATATTTATGTTTTCATTTTGTGTTAATTGTTAATTATCTCGTCTTCTTCGACTACCATATATGCTATGATGATGATCCTGTGTTGCTGCCTGAAGATGAGAAGAAAGATTAAATTCTTTGATTTGGTTGGGTGTTTTGAAGTTCCTATGTTTTCCTTCATCCTTCTAATCATTTATATATTTTTGTTTTTAAAGTTAGAAGGGTGTATATGTATTGCATTTGTATATGCTAAGGAATGTAGATGAAGTTGTTTGTCACTATAATTCTATGATTATTTGTTTTTGTTGTGGTAACTTGTATTGCTCTTTTTAGTTTGATGTTTAATGTGCTTTACATGAAGTTTTATTAGGTTTTCTGTATTTACTCTGCAATAAAAATGTAGGAAATAGTTGGTTGCCATTGAATGTTAATAGAAATTGGTTAGTTTTCATTCTCCAAGAAAATTTACTCTTTTTATGATTTCAGCTTTTTTAATCCTCATTTTTTTTTTTCAAATTATTGTTTTAAAATAATTAATTATTGATCTTGTCAATAAAGTTTATCAATATGTGCACATATAATTATAACCATTACTTGTTAACATTATAGGTTTATCATTCACAATTAATTTTTTACCACATTATATTTATATTATAAAATTTCTAAAATTTTCATTATATTTTATTTCTGTTAACTAGTACAGAACCCGTGCAATCTAAAGTCTATTTGCACAATCTTATTATTATTTGTGTGAATAAATATATTAATCAACTTGTAATAAAAGAACATTACATATTATTAAACACATTTTGTACACAATATTTCTTTTTGTTTTCTTGTCAACAAACCATCATCTCCATTAATTAATATTTTCAAGCTATTTCTATTAGAGACATGAGAAACAACTGAATATATGATTGAAAAAGTCCATTTAACTGGTCGTGGCTGAAAAAACGACTTTTTCAAGAACAGACCAACATGTGATAAAGATTTACCCTAACTCTTTTTAATCGTCATGACATAAGAAATCATATAGGAAAATTGTCTCGCTCATCAACAATGCTTCGAAAATCAAAACGAAAAAAAGGGAGAAGTCACATTTGAACTTAACCATATTTGTCGTATCATGAATTACAATTTTATATTGGGCAATTGTGAGACGAAATGAGCCAACGTTCCCCTCAACTTAGTATTTTTTAAGCTCAAGTAGGAGTCATTTTCGGAACATGTGCAGACGCTCAAGTAGGAGTCATTTTCGGAACTAAGGTTTCATGTCTAAACATGTGCAGATGCTCAAGTAGGAGTCGTTTTCGGAACTAAAACTTGAAAGCTACCACACGCGAAAGAAATAGTCGTGCTTTGCAACAAACACAACATCAAACGAATGCAAATTTACGAGCCAAACCAAGAAATTCTCGAAGCACTAAAGGGCAGCCATATATCACTCATTCTTGGAGTTTCGAACAAAGATATCACCACAATCGTCTCAAACTGGTCCTTCGCGCAATTGTGGGTAGAAAAAACCATTGTCAGCTTTAAAGATGTCAATTTCTAGTAAGTAAGCATGCCAAAAAAAAAAAAAAACTACACAGTGACACGCATTTAGTATTTTAGTCCTTCAACTTTAGCGATTTTGCGAAAAATTCTCAGGTTTTCGACACTTAAAAATTTGATAAGTACATAGCAATTGGAAACAATATCAGCCCATTAGACAAGGCCACCGAGAAACAAAACACAACATAGCTATAACTCTGCATTTTTAATCAATCAGTAGAAGAAGCGGTTACTCTGCTTGTCGAAAATGCCATGACTGTATGTATTAGAATAAAATCCACAAGCAACCGGAATTGCAGCATCACGAAAGAGGTCACGAGCAAGAGCAGCCACATGTATGCGTATCCAAACTTTTTCCTGGCTGAAAACAATAAAAATAGTGGCACTAAAAGCCACCATCATAAACAAGATGGACATGAAAAATGTGGCGAGCTCAATGCAAAGCCTCTTGGCAACGCGTAAAAAGAAATCTTCCTCCGCATACCGCGAGGTCAGAATGGAAAAGAACATATTCAGAGAAGTGTGGACGTGAAAAGAGATGACATCTGAGACCGCAGATATTATGAAGGCGGCTTTAGTGGACAAGAAACGGAAGCCGTTGGACGCGTTCCCGCTAAGGATCATGATAGCGGCAACGAATACGACTGTGACAATCAATGCGGCGGCAATTGTGCACGAGTTGGTTGTGTCCTTAATCGACTTTTCGCCTTCGGCTTTTATTTCCTTGTACCCGTCCGTGAATATCGTCTGGGGTGTTTTTCCAGAATTGTTCATTCGTTCGCGTGAATAGGGATGGACAAATTTCTTCACTTCTTATTAACATCAATCGAACACAAATGTGCAATCAATTTAACATATAAATTCTACGTATATACGTACAAAAACGAAGAATTCATGTCAATCACGTACTTCAAACCACTACAACTCGCGTTGCATTTGAAGAGGTTAAACTATGTTGGAAGTTCGTGTGGGATTCATTATGAATTTTGGAAGAATTCAATGCTAATTGTTTAATAGTGATTTTGTGTGCAAATGTATATATAAGAAATGAAATGATTGATTTCAAATGATTAGGAAAAAATGGTTCTCTATGACTTTGTTACAGAAGGGATTCAATTATAGTCATGTAATGATAATGTGATGAGATGTCTTTGCTTCTGAAACTTTCCATACAATGTTTACCCTATTTGTATTTTTAAAAAAAATAATGACATAGTTCAAAAGTTGCAAGATATTTTGTTTAATTCTTTTTGCTTTATTCCTATGTATTATCTACACCAAAACCATCTTTCTTGCTATTTCTTAAGGAATAGCTCAATTGACAAAGATTTACAAGACTTTCTGTTTTTCGCAAGAATTTCATATTTAAAACTCGGTCATAACAAATACTTTTAGTTCCATCACTTTGACTATCTTATTCGACATATCACCAGTTCCTTGTGCGAAGGCCAATTGCCCAATAAAACGCAACGCTAGATCTTGTTTGATCTTTGTGTACCAATATAGAGCCTTAGAGGAATCTACGTGGACGTCATGCTTACGACTGCACGATTAAGGGTTCATGAGGTTATCGAGGAACTCGTGGCCTGCCATATACTCTCGTGATTTCCACTCAAAACATTACATCTTCCACGTGGCGGTCGAGAACCGCAGTGAAAAGGTTTTCAACCTGATTTACCAGACTAGCGACCTCAAACATCAGTACTCGGATTCGATGGATGCTAATGGAAACACGCTCCATTAGCATCCATCGAATCCGAGTATTCATGCTTGAGGTCGCTCGTCTGGTAAATCAGGTTGAAGACCTTTTCACTGCAGTTCTCGACCGCCACGTGGAAGATGTACTGTTTTGAGTGGAAATCACGAGAGTATAACCACAGTTCCTCAATAACCTCGTGAACCCTTAAGCGTGCAGCCGTAACCATGACATCCACGTAGATTCCTCTAAGACTCAATGTTGGTGCACAAAGATCAAACAAGATCTAGCGCTGTGTTTTATTTGGCGATTGGCGTTCGCACAAAGAACTGGTGATACGTCGAACACGATAGTCAAAGTGATGGAACTAAAAGTATTCGATATGACCGAATTTTAGATATGAAATTTTTGCGAAAAACCAAAAAGTCTTGTAAATCCTTGTCAATTGAGGCATATATTAAAAAAAGGCAAGAAAGATAATTTTGGTATAGCTAGTACAGAGGAATAAAACAAAAAAATTAAACAAAATATTTTGCAGCTTTTGAATTATGGTATTATTTTGAAAAAGAAATTACAAATAAGTTAAACATTGTCAAGAAAGTTTCACAATGCAAAGATTTATCATCTCATCACATTATCATTATCATTACATGATGACTATAATTAAATCCTTCTGTAACAAAATAATCAAAGTCATAGAGAAATATTTTCCTAATCATTTGAAACCAATCATTTCATTTTTTATATTTACATTTACACACAAAATCACTATCATACAATTAACATTGAATTCTTCGAAAATTCATAATGAATCCAACACGAACATCCAACATAGTTTAACTTTTTTAAATACAACGCAAGTTGCAGTGGTTTGAAGTACGTGATTGAATGAATTCTTCGTTTTAGTACGTATATATGTAATATTATATCTTTTAAATTGATTGCATATTTCGGTCCGATTGATATTAATAGAAAGTGAAGAAATTTGTCCACCCCTATTCACGCGAACGAATGAACGATTCTGGAAAAATACCCAAGATGATATTCACGGACGAGCACAAGGAACAAAGCCGAAGGCCAAAAGTGGATTAAGGACACAACCAAATCGTGCACAATTGCCGACGCATTGATTGCCACAGTCGTATTCGCCGCCACTATCATAGTCCCAAGCGGGAACGCGTCCAACGGCTTCCGTTTTCTTGTCCACTAAAGCCGCCATCATAATATTTGCGGTCTCGGATGTCATCTCTCTCTTCACGTTCACAGTTCTCTAATGATGTTCTTGTCCATTCTAACCTCGCGATATGCGGAGGAAGATTTCTTGTACGCATTCGACTCCCACGGTCGGACGAGAATCGAACACGTGTGCGGGAAGACGATACGCGTTAAGAATTATGCTACGACGCCTAAAGTTATTTAAACGGTACTAGGGTTAGGACGATTAAACTCGGATCCAAAAATTATCCACTTACCAGAATCGGATAAATCTAGCGTTCTTGATTCTCGAAAACCTAACTCATTTAAGGCCAATATTTAAATCACTAATATCTATAAGATTTATATCGATTTTATAATCAACAACTGCAGCTAAAATCACATCCGAACTAATATCGTATTTTATCGACTAAAGTCTCAATTTTTAATGTAGGTCAAACGGCATCCAAAATTCACAAAATTTAAAACATAGCATCATCATCATATATATAGTTTATATATAGTGTATGGTCAAAGTATCAAGTCCAAAGTCAACTTCTAACCCAATCAACTCACAATCGCTTAAGTCGGTCAACATATTCAAAAATCTCGTTCGCCTATCAAGCGAACTCTAAAAATTTTCCTGTTTGCATTTTAAGCCTCAAGACAACGCAATGAATTTTATCAAATTTAATTCGGCATTTTATTGCATTTATATCAAAAACTCGCAAAATCGAATTCAACCTCGAAAAATACCAAAATATTCAATAATCACTCAAATCATCAAAAACTCGATTTTATAATATGTCAATAATCAAAACTAAGCCAATTTAATCGAGTTCAAGCCAAATACCTTAAATCGGCTCAAATCGGAGATCAAAAGTGGAGAGATCTAGGGAAAATGGATCGGAGCAGCAAAACCGGTTTGGTGTTGCTCAAACGGGGCGAACCGGAGTGGATATGGAGCAGGCCAACTCTGCCCGAGTTGGGGCGAGTTGGACGAGTCACAATGTGAGTCGCATATCCTGGCGGGTCGGGTGGGTGACCGGGTCGCTGGGGCTGGTTCGCGCTCGTGAAGGCTCGGGCTTGAAGCTGCCGGTGCTGGGTCGCGGTGAGGAGCTGTTTTCCGGCGTGAACTCGCCGGAATCGGGCCGACGCGAGGCTGTTCGCTGGTAGTCGCCGTACGGACGCGGGGGAGCTGCGGGATGGACGCCGGCGTGAACAGGGTGCGTGAACGGGACCTGGGTCGTGAAGGCGAGCTGGACTGAGGTGGTGACGGCCTGAACGGAGCAGGGAACGTCGCGTAGGTGCGGCTCGCCGTGAAGAACTCTGCTGGAACGACGGTGGTAGCGGGTAGCTCGCGAACGGACGGAGGAGCGCGGACTGAGACTCGGCCTGGGCGCGAACTGGAGCTGGGAGGCGCGGATTAACTTGCCGGCCGTAGAAGTCGCCGTGGCAAACTCGCCGGTGGCTAGGGTGGCCGGAAATAGGTGGATTTTGGCCGGATTTTGAGAGAAAATGGCTATGGATCTTGAGATGGGAGGTAGATGATGATGAATAGTGTAGTGATGAATAGTGTAGTGATGGTGTTGGGCTAGGGTTTGGAAATAGTGGGATGTTTTATTTATAGCCAAGAGGAGATTAGGGTTTTTTTTTGTTGGGCCTAAAAAATTGGGCTTATAAAATTCTTACAATCCGACTAGTAAAATTAAATCGACTTGGGTTCGGTTTAATTGACGTTGACTTAAGAATCAAATGTTCGGCTAATAAAATTAATCGAACTTGGACTAATTAAATTAGTCGGTCGAATTTTTCTAGAATAATTGGGGCTCGAATTTATAAATCGACTATAGACTCGAATTTTAAAATTGACTAAAATAAAATCGAACAGAGCGGGTCAAACAAATCATCAACGTGAACCCACACGCCACCACGGCTCGAATAGGCTTCACCTTGGAGACTTCCTTCCACACAGCCGTGGGGCACGGGCAAGGCCCTCGATTTCGCCCAAAACCTGGTCGACACAATGCCCGACGACCTATTAGGAGTGAAGGACGAGATCGGCTACACGACCCTCCATGTAGAGTCTCTGTCCGGAAACACGGTTGCCGCCAGAATCCTTGTGGGGTACATGGTGGGAGCCCGATTTGTTGTGTGCCCAATAACACGAGTAGTTTCCCAATCCACGTAGCGGCACTGTCGGCCCATGTGGAAACCCTTAAGTACTTAATATCTGAGACGAGGGACGACGGGTTCGCGCCCGTATCATGGGGAAACGAGCCTCAAACTTCTCTGTTATGTGATTGATACTGATATTTTTGGTGGGTGTGTTTATGGTTTGAGTACTTTCATTGTTGTGAGTTTTTTGGTTTTCAGCCGTTGATGACTTATCTTTGCAATGTATTTATGTAACGTCCAGAATATTATTTATTATTTATTGAGCTCGACTTCATTTCCATAAATATTAAGTTTCCTAATTTGATGCATTTATTATTATTATTTGCGTGAAATTGAGGTAAAAGTGAACAATACATGGTACCTTGGTTCGGGCTAAGGCTTGCTTCTTCCAAGGTTTGCTTCTTGCCTGTAATCGAACAATACCCAATATTCATCGCAAAGCCTCTGCTCCTGTATAAACATTTCAAAATAATATAAGTACAGATATGTATAAAAAAAACATTACACATTTATTTTAAATAACATACACATAAAATAGAAAAAAATAAATAAATAAATAAATAAATTGCAACACACCTCCTCATCATAAAATAGTATTTCCAAGAAGTTCCTACATTCAGCCTCAAATTTGTGTTCGATGATCCTAATTGCATGGAGTTTCATGCATGGTTTATTAGTTCGAGAGATGTCCTTAATGAGATCAAAT